ATTTTTCAAATTTAGCTGTAGCTGCTGCATTTCCCACCCTAGGCTTATACTCGAGTCAATAACTTTTCCAGTTTTTTGTGGTAAAATTAGGTGCCTCGGCTTATATTCGGGTCGGCCTATACTCGAGTATATACGGTAATATAAATCTTCTATTATTCAGAATTCTACTTTTTTCTAAAGTTCTGTCTTATTTATTTATTTGATTTTTATCCCACATTATTTTTGATCAGCTAGCCATTAAATGTGACATTTTTTCATTGAAAAAGTCTACAGCCTAACCCAATGTCAGCTGAAGATGGTGAAAATACTTCACGGTTCCAGTGATAGTTGCTATCTCATGTGATGTTAATTCTGCATATTATTATGTTAATAACTAATAACATATCTCCAATATTATGTTAATAATATTTGAGATTTGTGAAATCGACACAATATCACTTCATATTCAAAAATAAAAAAAAGCATTTTATTGATGGGAAAAAGTCCCATCTCCCTGATTTTATGAAACATTTTTTCTCCTCATAATTTTCAATTCTAGAACCTTCTTGGCCCCAGGAGCAAGACGTTGGATTAATATTGATGGCACCACTATGGCCATTACAGTCAAAGGCCTCAAAAACCCTCAACGTTATGTCTTAGATGCTGCACAGACTCATATTTATATGCTCATGAAGAAGGTTGGTCATTTTGCTTTTTCATTTGAATTTTCATTCCAGCTACCTAGATATTTTTGACGGAAAGAAAAAAGATACTACTAACATATATACTGTATATACACACACCTTGTTGCTCCAAAGAGAACAGATTGGAGTGTCTCTGTGTGAGGAAAGATAATTTGGGGTTGTTTCCGCTTGATTCTCATTATATAAAATGAATGATTTTCATACAAGAATAAGTTTTTCAAGAGGAAAATTCAATGGAACTGAGATGTCTTGGGCATTGAAGTGGACAAATATCTTATTAGTCCAGCCTCCTCCTTGTTAGGAGAGGGGAACATAGGGTGGTTTCAGCCTCTTTGAGGGGTGGTCCACCAGGCTTTAAGAGGCAATGCTATGCCCCCCCTTAAGATATCAGCTCTGGATCCTTCCCTCTCAGAGAATTATTGGCCAATTTCCAATCTGGGAAAGATTACGGGAAAGGTGGTTGAATGACAGCTTCAGAGGATCTTAGGACAAACGGATTATCTGGAAGCATTTCAGTTTGGCCTTAGGCCAGGGTATATTACAGAGACACTTTGGTTTGCACTTATTATTGACCTTTGGCAGGACCAGAATGGGGTCTACATCAAATGCTTCTTAGCAGCTTTCAATAATATTGACCACAGAATCTGTTGTGAGGGTAGAAGTGGGAGGCATTGTGCTCAAATGGTTCATCTTCTTCCTCGGTAGTCAATTCCAATTGGAGACAATGGGGAGAGATAACATCCGCAGCCCTTTGTGTGGGGTGCCTGAGGACTTGATGTTCTCCCCTCTTCTCTTCAACATCTACATGACACCACTAGATAAGGTCATCCACCAGTTTGGGGTGTGGTATTATCAGTATTCTGCTGATCTCCAGTTCTACGTGTTAACCCCAAATGGCACAGGTGAAGCTATCAATGTCTTGATCTGATGTCTGGGGGCTGTTCAGGTCTCAATAGGGCAGTACAGATTTACGCTCAAGTCAGGCTAAGCCCAAGAACTATATGGAATAATTCAGCCAGTGTTGAGTTCTTTATTTGCTTACACATTTCAAACAGAATCTTGCCAGACTAAATCTTTGTTACTGATAGCCTAACAAACACACCTTAGGAGATTCTAGGGAGTGGGTATCTGGACTCCTTTCTTTGTCTCCTACCTTCACCTCTGGACTGTGCTGTATCTTATCCCACCCCAGCCCCTTTCTGGAATGTGCTCCCTCCAGAAAAGGAAACTGCCACCTTACTGTGATCCTTCACCCCAGCTCCCCCTCTGTGGACATTGCCAAAATTGCCATCTGTCAATTGCAAAAGGCAGCTTTACTTGGAACGGCTTACATTCTGCTATATATTTAACAACATCAAACAGCAACATCTGCCTATCCTAAGTCCTTGGGAAGGACTCGATAGATGGATAAAAATGCCAAATCAAAACACTTAGCTGACTGCTAACTGACTGTTACCCAAAAGTTTTAGTATACCATTATCAATTCCTCTCTCCCATTTTATGACTACCTGTTTTAGTAGCAAAAAAAAAACCAACCAAAAATGGTCTGCTCAGCATTCCAATTGTTCAAAGATAAAGTTTTATATATTAGTATGATTCGTCCAATTATTATAACATAGCCTGCTTCTAGGGTAGTTCTACATGGGTCATTAGTTGGAAATGGTGATTTTGTTGATGCCAATGGTGTTCAAATAGTGCTCTAGTTGTTTTGGGATTGCACCCAAGATGTCTATTATTATAGGTACTACCATGTTTCCCTGAAAATATGACCTACCCCGAAAGTAAGTCCTAGCTTGATTTTTACACATGTGCCCAATATAAGCCCTCCCCCTCCCCAAAATAAGCCTTAATTAAGAACCCGTCCACTCTGGAGTACAGAGGGGGAAAGGTGCATGGGTAAAAATTAAGCTAAAGTGGGGATAGGGAGGTGACCCTACTTACCAGGCCTTGCACACCCTGAAACCTGCCTTGCCTTGCTGGCCCACTAGTGCAGCTGCTTGTGCGCATTGTCCCCGGCCTCCATTTCACTATCAGAGGCCTTCTGGAAAGGCCTCTGAAGCTGAGAAATGAGGTCTGGATTGATGCGCGCGGCACCCCCCCCCCCCCCTCGTTTTGCCATCCGGGGTCTTCTGGAAAGGCCTCTGAAGCTAAGAAATCTGGATTGATGCGTGCATCACCTCTGTTCTCTATTTTGCCCTTAGAGGCTCTTCAAGAAAGGCCTATGCAGCTGATAACAAAGTTTTGGATCAATCCGGAGCTCTCTTACTGGCTGCAGAGGCCTTTCCTGAAGGCCACTGACAGCAAAATGGAGGCCGGGGGTGATGCGCGCAAGCAGCCGCAGAAGAAGTGGTCCGGCAGCAGATTCCTGCTGTGTGGGACTGTCGGTGCCGCTGCGGCAAGGTAATTCAGTGGAAGACACGCCCCCTCAAAAAATACCTGGTGCCTTTTTTTTGGTAGCAAAAAAATTATAAGATTGGGTCTTATTTTCGGGAAAACTTTCTTCTGCCACAATTGTTCAGTTATTTTCTTATTTTATTTTACTCAATTTATATGCCCTTCCTCCCATTTTGCAACAGCAACTCTGCCTTCAATGCTCAATAGAAAATAACATCAAGAACAATAGACAATGTCTTTCCCAACCCCTGTTGGCTATTTCAGCATCTGAGAAAACATCTTCCTTGCCTTGCTTTTGTGTGTGTGTATGTGTGAATTCTAACCATATGAGCCTTAATTTAACCAGTGGTTTTTCAGGATGCATATTTAGCATTAAGAAGAGATGTTTTCTTTTGCTACTTGGTGAGAATATTCTCTTGATGCCTCCACTCCCAGCCTCTTTGACTCCTAAACAGCTGTATAGAGATATGATTTTAATTAGGATTCTTGCAATCTACAACTACCAGTCTCCCTTTCTTTTTCCTAGTAGGATTCTTATGGTCGCTATTTAAAGTCTCCGGTATACAAAGAAATGTTGTCCAAGGCAATTGTACCACAAGAAGTGGTTAAAAAAAGGCAAGTCATTTGAGGTTTAATTGCATTTCTTCATTATTGGTTTAAATTAGGAACTAAAGGAAACTGGTGATTATTTATACAGTTGCACAATTTAAGGTGATCTTTCCCTGGGGAAAAGTGCCTGATTTCCAGTTTGATAAATGAGAGACATCATGGCTCTCAGAGTCACCTTGAACCGCAAGGTGTGTGGCATATCAATGCAATAATAAATAAATATTTTTCAATGTTAATGTTATAGCACTTATCAATAACTATTTCATAAGAGAAAAAGAACGAAAATTACCTAAAAGAAAATCACATTTTTTTTCTATATGTGTTGCTTTTGCATTTTTAAGATGTCATAGAATTAGAACTTAGATGTTCCGCTAATAGCTTTTGGAAGTGATTTCATATCAATAAAACACAACCTGTATATATTTAACTCACATCATTTCCGTACGATAGTATAGACATGCATAGATACTTCATGTGGTATAGAATTGGCTTCTGAAGGAGCCATGCAAGTCTGGAAAAGATGGGCCAGTTCAAAAAGGGGTGCTTTATATGTGTTTTGGATGTTTCAAAGACTTATGCAAGGAGCGAAACATGACAGCAGCTGCTTTCTGAGAACCATGGTAATTTCCCCAATATTCCACAACCTATAATAGGAGTGGAAAGATCTCATTAAAGATCAAGTTAAGTGAGCTTAACTTTAACTTTCTAACTCTTAGAAAGACCTTTGTAGCTAGACCCAATTATATTCAGAGGTGGCATTCAGCAGGTTCTGACCAGTTCTGGAGAACCGGTAGTGGAAATTTTGAGTAGTTCAGAGAACCGGTAAATACCATCTCTGACTGGCCCCCGCCCCCATCTATTCTCTGCCTCCTAAGTCCCAGCTGATTGGGAGGAAATGGGGATTTTGCAGTATCCTTCCTCTGCCATGCCCACTAAGCCACGCCCACCAAGTTATGCCACACCCACCAAGCCATGCCCACAGAACCGGTAATAAAAGATTTTGAATCCCACCACTGACTATATTGATCATGATTTGATTAATACATCTGCTGAGCATATTTACCAAGTGTGCTACATACTAAAATAGAACTAATAGTCCTTAACTTACAACCACAACTGAGCCCAAAATTTCCATTGCTAAGCAAGACGGTTTGCTTTGCCCCACTTTATGACTCTTCCTGCCATGCTTGTTCAATGAATCACTGCAATTGTTAAGTAAGTAACACTTTTGTGAAATGAATCTGGCTTCCCCATTGACTTTTCTTGGCAGAAGGTCACAAAAGGAGATCCCCTGATCCTAGGACACGGCAACCATCATAAATACATGTCTGTTGCCAAGCATCCAAATTTTAATCATGTGACCATGGGGGATGCAATAGCCATAAATATGAAAAGTATGTATGTAAGTATGAAAATAGCAATTGCACTTAGACTTATATACCACTTCACAGTGCTTTCCAGCCCTCTCTAAGCTGTTTACAGAGTCAGCCTATTGCCCTCAACAATCTGGGTCCTCATTTTACCTACCTCGGAAGGATGGAAGACGGAGTCAACCTTGAGCATGTCAAGATTGAACCCCTGGCAATCAGCAGAATTAGCAGCAATGAAAAAGAGTGATAAGTCACTTTTTTCAGTGCTGCTGTGACTTTGAAAGGTCACTAAATGAATAGCTGTAAGTCAAGGACTACCTGTACAAAAAAGATACTCATCCATAGTTTTGCAGAATACTGAGCTTGTGAAATACTATTTGGTTAGCATCTTTCTGAAATACTTATCTATAATTCTTATGGCAGGATTATTTATTGCAACAAATATTTACAATGAGCAACAAAAAGGATCAACTATAGATCTGCATCAGTGTTGAATAAATATTTTTGTTTACACAATATTTTTGTTTAAACAAAAGGGTTTTCTTCATGTTTCATCATTTCTATTTTAGAGCATTTTTTAACCTTTCCATAAAATATTGGAATAAGATATTTAGATAGGTGGAAAAGAGATGATCCTCACATTCTGATGCAATCCCAACATTTTTGGATAAAGGCGAAAATGTTTGTCCATCTGTTTAGGGCTTTACACAAACCCACACAAATTCTGGATATTCTGGCCATGTTTTTATGAAAACCACTTTCTACAAATTGAGTTTAATTGCTCTTTCCATTTGTTTTAATTTTAGATTGGGTTGCATCAAAACAATGAGGCATATGCTGAGTTCAGTTGGACAAATAACACACATTAATTTAAAATTTAAAAATTGTAGACATTGTGAGAAAAGAAAGGAGTTTATGGTAGGAGTCCTGATAATACTCTTTCTGACTAACAAATGTGTTAAGAGGCATAACTCTTTGTGAACTAAAATCTGTGGCAGATTGTTTTTAATCCACAAAAGGCACTTTTGCAGGTTTCCATCCTTTTATTGAAAGGCGGTGGAAATGTGTTAATTAATAATGATCACAATGATCATAAGAGTAACCTTCTGGCTTTGTTTTGTTTCCTGTTCAGCTCTTACAATCCGTTTGCCCGCAAGCACCTGCGCTCCAGTCCCAGCCCCATCCTCTTGAGGCAGCTGGAGGAAGAAGCCAAAGCTAAAGAAGCCGCCACCAATGTGGACATCACCCAGGTTATGAGCAAGCTGGATCGTAGAAGCCAGCTCAAGCAGGAGGCCCCACCTGCTAAATAGGGCCCTGGCGATAGTGCTGGAGAGCCCATGGCAGGAATAAAAACGCAGAGCCAGGAGGAAAATGTTGGCTGAATGTAGGGCTGCATTTCCTTCCCCTGGCCTGCAGGTGTCATAAGTGTTTCATTGTTAGCAATCTCTCTCTCTCTCTCTCCCTCCCTCCCCCCTTCTCTTCCCCCCCTTGCCTTCCTCCCATCTACAGTCGGCTGTTGCCATGACATCCAGAACACTGTCCCTTCATCAGCCCTTGCTGATGATAGAATCTTAGAACACAGGTGGCAAAAAAGTCCTCATATGAGAATGGCAGTGATGCTTTTCATATCGGATCAGCTCACTTTTACACTGTTTTTTCTATAAACTCCCCTCCCACATCTACAATACACTACAAAGTCTGGATGCCATGGCAACCAGCTGCCTGGCCTCTCTATGCCTGTAAATAACAAAGAAAAAGGGCCGAACAATCTTCTTGAAAGACATCAGCCAGAAAACAGAATCTTCTTTCCAGATATCAATTATCTAGTCATTGCCTAGAGAACAACTCAAGAATTTGATAAGGAGCAGACTCTGAGGAAGGAGACTAGTGGACATATTTAAAAGATGGTGCCTAATGCAAATTTACTTTGTGAATGATTGGTATCATTTAACATCATTTAATCATTTTTTTCTTATTCAGAATGGCTCTATATTGACCAACAATGGGCTGTGTTTTACTTTAGTGGATTTTTACAATTCTACCAGACAAATGTATTTTATATTAGACAATTCATGACTTGCTGAGTCAATATTTCAGAGACAATTCCTTACCTACAGAGAGAAACAGAATGATCATAGTTGGGAAACAATCAGCAAGGAAGGGAGTGTCTTCTGATTTTCTGGCAGCTTTCAGTTCCCTTCCTTCTGAGAACCTGGCAAGGAGTGCTGGAAATTGTGATCACATGAGTGCAGCAGTGCAGGAGTATGACAGTACTGAGATAGTCACAACTTTGCCAAATTTCAATCCCATGGGAGTCGTGGGTCCTGGATTTTGGATACATTCTTTAAGTTAGACCATTTGATGTACATTTATTCAAAAATTATTACCTTATGATGCACTGTTTTGTGTAATTAAAGGTTACAATCAGGACAAGCAGGAGAGTTTTAGAGATAGCTAGCAAGCTAGCTGGAGGGAGGGAGGGAGGGAGGGAGGGACAGATGGAGAAACAGACAGACAGGCAGACTAAAGGATATGCTCTCTGATGGATGATTAACATCCATCACCAAATTCCAAAGTTTAAATACTATTGGTCATTCAGGGCAGAAGGGTGACTACACTTAACCTCAACTAATGCAATAATGGAGTGTAAGAAGAAGCTTTCTAATGTACGTATGGGACCATGCAGTATCTATTGGGCTTTTCTGGAGAGCAGGTTTTTTTGTAATTTCTGAATGTATTATATTTACGGTGGTGTTCTACGTAATTGATTTTCCTGCTTAGCAACAGAAATTTTGATCCCAAATGTCATGACGAAAATTACCTGTATATGCCTGTCATAGAGGCTTGACTGCCATGTGTCTCAAAGTAGGCAGAGGTCAAAAGCCCTTGAAATGATTGGAAATGCCAGAAGAAATGTATTTCCCCCCCTTGCATTCACGATGAGCAACGTCAGCAAAAACTTAAAAGCTTACCCAGCAGAAAGGTGAAGATGAATTGCAGGGCTGACCTTTTGTTTAAATAATCTATAGCTATTAATCATAGTTAGTATGTGCCTGAAATATTTCAGTGGTTTATGAACAACTAAGTGGAATTGAGGCTCATACAACTTCTCAGTATGTTTCATTTATTTTCAGGAAGTTAGTTCAGTCACGCAGATACTATTTCTATCATTTGATCTAGCTGGGCTTAGGTTGACTTTCAGTTCTGACCCTTTTTTTGTGGTCACTACTTTTCATCATTGGTTGCAAAATACACAGAACGGTTTGGGAATCTCTGTGATATTGGCAGAACTAGAACACTCTCGTCAAAAAGGCCATGAGAACATACCAAGGATGTGATCTTAAAACAATCCGAGGAGTGATAATTTCTGTTAGATCAAAGAAATCTAAATGCAGCCCAGCAGCACTGCTGCAATTTAGGCAGAACTTCCTGAGACTCTCAACTTTGAAAATGCAACTGTGGAGATTAATTAAAATGTTCTATCTGTTTAGAAAGGTCAACACTATAGCTACGCAATGCACCAAAATAATGTTTTGAAAGTCTTTGGGGGTAACTTCAGGGCTCCTTAGAATCTTTTCAGGGGTTCTTTAGTCATACATTAGTTATTTAGAAAATGTACAGTATATCCTATGTTTGAATATATTTTAAAGAAGACTAATAATAGATTATGGCCTCTGGCATACTATACCCATGGGAATTGCAAGCCACTCCAATAGAGAATAAATCAGTCTGCATTGTTCACAAGCCTTAGGCTGGAAGTCTCAGGCACAAGTGGGAGTCAGCTTGCCCCAATTAAGAATAGGGAAGAAACCAAATTCTAGAGACACATTCACAAATACACATTCCTGCTGAAGTAGAAGTGTCAAGGAAGGGACATCCCAGTTTGCAAAAGCTTCTTAGCAGCCTGGTCTTTTTCTAAGGGTTTAATGCTAGATTACAATTGGCTATTTATTTATTTATTATTTATTTGATTTCTGCATCACCCATTTCACTTAAGCGACTCTGCGAGTTTTACAACTTCATAATGAAAACACATGAATCAAAGCATAGATTAAAAACAGGATTAAGAACAATGTAAAATTTACAGGTAAAAATACAAACCAAAGTGAAAAATTGAAAAAGCTAAAAGATTAACAAGGCAGGGAGAGTTTCCTCAAGCCAGCAGCCATTCCTAAGGCTGTATCAAGACTATGCCAGGTCTTAACACTCATACAGAAACAGCAATAGTACTTAAACTTATGTACCACTCCATAGTGCTTTACAGCATACTCTAAGCGGTTTACAATGCCAGTATATTGCGCCCCCCCCCCCAACAATGTACGTCCTCGTTTTACTGACCTTGGAAGGATGGAAGGATGGAAGGCTGAGTCAACTTTCAGGTCTCTGGATCAAAGTGCAGGTTGTGGGCAGAGTAAGCCTGCAATATTGTGTTCTAAGCATTGCACCACCACGGCTCTACGCCATCATGGAAAACCAGAAGAGTGGAGGGTTGACCTTATCTCTGGGGGTAAGATGTTCCAAAAGGGAGGGATAGAAGCTCAGAAGGCCCTCTTCCTGGATCCCACCAGATGAAATTCCTCGACTGATGGATTACACAGATGCTGTCTCTGCTTGATTGATTGGAATGGGCCAGTATAATTGAGACGAGACAGTTCCTCAAATATTCCGTGGAGGGCTTTAAAGGTGGTGACCAATCCCTTGTATTGAACCTGGAAGCAAACTAGCACCTACTGTAGCTCATGTGGCAGAAGTGTTACATGAGCTACCCTAGGGGTCCCCAAAGTCCCACCGTTGCATTCTGTGCCGAATGTAGCTTTCAAATACTCTTCAAGGGAAGTTCCATGCAGCAGTTGTCCAGCCAGGAGATGACCAGGGTATGAGTGACTGAAATGAGAACATCTCCAGTGAGGATGTTACTGGTGCACAACTTGAAGTTGAGCAAACGCCTTCCTAGCCATGACTACCCAATTGTGATAGCCCACCCAATTTCTTTGAGTGTGGTAAGTCTATATAGAATGCATATGCATAGCATCAAACCACATAACACAGCAGCCCTTGATCTCACAATCCTTAACTGAAGCAAAAATATGCTTTCTTTTTGCTCTCCAGTTCACACAACTACAGTAGGGTTCCTGATGGCAGGAATAAGATACTATATTTATTTCTCTACCTGCTTGTTTGACCATGGAAGGGGACCCAAGCTAATCTACCTCTTGCCATGATTATTTTCACTTATTCTAAGAAGTTGAGAAACGATTCATCAACCACTGTCTCACTTTTTTCCCTAGAATGGCATGCACACGATGGGTATGTTCTACCTCAGGTGGAATGACTGTTCAACTAAAATACAATATTTCCTAGGAATTAAATAAAATAGTTGAAACCATGTCGTGGGCCTCCAGTTGTCCATGCTGTCTTCCGTTGTGGCTGGGTTAGCAGCTACAACCCATAAGATGTATACGGTCACTGCTATTTATTGTCTGTTAAAACTAGAATGTGCTTCACCTTGTTTTAATTACAAGCAATGGGTTGTCTTTTCATTATTCATTGAGTCTTGCCATACTTTCCCCTCCTTTCATTTTCCTTAGTTAAATAAAACTAGAAGTTGAAACAATCATTGTGTGTGTGTGTGTGTTTCATTGTCTTTGTCACCATCCAGACATTTTTATTTTCTCCACCTTCATATCTCCACATTTATCATTTTAATTTTAATTCTTTTTCTTCTTTAGAAATTGATTATCTAATAGCAGCTTTTTAAAATCATGCAGTCTGTTACTGAAGCATCTCCTTCGGCCACAATATTATCTGTCAGATAAAGATATTCTTTTTCTTTACTTTGCAGCAATTTAGAAGAGTTCTGAGTCTGTGCTATCTTGGGAGATATTGGCTTTGGGGTCTAAGCCAAGCATTATCATTTCATCTACACAATAATTGCAACAGTTATGTGTCACAGCAAATGGCATCTTTGCAACATAAACTCTCACATTATTTTTCAAAATGACCAAGCAAAAATACCAAGTGAATTGAATGGATGCAAAGTGGGGGAAACCACAATTCTGCTTTTCTTGAAAAGAAATGGAGTCTCTTTGGAACTCACCATTCAGGAAATTGATTAGATGGCGGGTCCCCCCCCCAGTTCTCCTATTGGTCAATTGGATGATGAACATTAAATGCCCTATGGAATTTTATGGTGTTCCCTCAATTCCCAACAGCTACAGTAGAACTTCAAACTGCTTTTGGAGGAATAGCAGAGTGGAAATGGTGTAGAAAATTGCAAACCTGTCTATTTATATTCTGCTGTGTAGGTGGGGATAACAGAATAACAGACTTGGAAGGGACTTTGGAGGTCTTCTAATCCACCCCCTTATCAGGCAGGAAACCCTTATGCCTTAGAGACAAATGGTTGTTCCAAGTTCTTATTTAAAAAATCCAATGTTGGAGCATCCATACTGGAGATTTTAAAGAAGAGATTGGACTACCATCTGTCTGTCCAAAAGAACCAGTAGAAACAGTAAGATGAGTTACTTGTTAAAAATCTTTTTTTTTAATGTGAAAGATAATAATTTGGCAAGGCTTACTAACGTTTAGGCTAGAAATCACTCTTAGACAACCAAGAGTCTTCCTACAAGAAAGGAAAAAAGAGTTTGTGAAGATAAAGCAGAAATGAAAGAAATTCATCAGCAAAATTATTTTTGAATGCATCCTCACTTCATTTTAGGATTAAACTAGATCTTTGTTCTGCATATATATATGGATCAATCTATTACTGATTAACCCCCTATGTTTACTTCCTCAGCCGATTATGCCTCATTTCCAGATTAATTGATGCCTTTTAAAAATAAGACTCAAAAACGACAATTGCAATTTAAATATCATCATCTAGGGATGAACAATATTGCATAGTCATTTCCTGGACTATTCCATTCCCCCTACTATGAAATGGGCTAATCTTAGAATTCCTAGGGTGCAACATTTTTGTGTACGATGCCATTGTCAGTTCAAGGATGAGCAATGTATTTTTGTGGAACTCTCCATCTGCTCTAATCTGTATGGCTAGCAATGAGAAAAGACGTGAACTGCAACTCAACGCTATCTAGAGACATCCGTCACCCAGTCTTACTGTGACGGAATGATCAGCGTGAATCTGCTATTGTATAAAGCAAACTGAAATTGGTGTCTCAAGTTCTATGGACATATACATTGGTATTTTACATTGGAGAGTTTCACACTGTGGTTATGCCCTTTTAAATCCTTGGATAAATGTGATAGTGAGCAGTGCTAGGATGTAGGTCCTTCCTCTCCAATACTGCAGTGTAGACAAGGAAAAACTGGAGGGAAAGCATTTGTACCATTCTGTGCAACCACATTTGGTACCTGAAATGGCATGCTATGAGATCTACTGCTTGGTGAGATTTGAAACAAAGACGTATCATGCCAAGGGCAAAAGAAATGCACCAGGGAATTCGCACTGTACAGGATGAATGATCAAGGGAGATAAATAAAAGCATGACAGACAGAACAGAACAGATATCTGTGTGACAAGATGCAGAAGTTTGATAGAAAACACCAAGAAACAGCAAATTCTTTTGAATTACATGAGACAATTTGAGGCCATCTTAGTTGACAATGTGAGAATTTCAAGGGGAGGAAAACTGGAAGAGGCATCTTTGTTTACAAACACTAAAATAAGCTGAACTCTCTTAATTCAATGTACGGAGATACAGAAACTTCAGCATGTAATACTGGCAAAGGCTGTGCTCTTGATTTGGGGTGCTTTTGATGTAAACCCAAGTGACATTCCATTGATCCTGATCATAAAACTGAATTAGGGAACAGAGCTAGCAAAAATTTGAAAAGAATTACTGGCATTATCCACACAGACACAGATCCTGCTTTTTCCTATTTTCTTTTCCCTTATAATGTTATTAGATTTGGGAGTTTATTTAATCCCAGTATAATTTTGTTGTTGGACTAAAGCTGCTCATCATTTTGATTTGGCAACTAACCTTAAACCATTTCAGGTATCTAGAAAGTTCTAAATCATAGATCTTATTTTTTTTATTATAACATTTTTATATTCTGACTAGATAGTATTATTCCCCTGTAGCCAAATTTGTAATGCATTTCATTTCTAGGAAGTTTGTATAAGGCATCATAATGTGTTTCTATGAAAAATACATTTAATATTGGGACTATGCACCCCTCAATATAGAAACTAGAATTAGGGCAAAGAGCTCAATTCAAAAGGCAAAATGTAATTTGGAGATGCATGTCTCTGCATGAAGTCCTGTGAACTCCCACAAAGTTGTGTTTCTTAAAAGGCACCTTTGTTTTTCTTGACAGGTTCCCTTGCATGCTCCAGGTCACATTTCTCCCTAACTAAAATATGCACACATGTTTGAATATATATTATTAAGGTGTTTAGTATATACAGGGTCAGAAAACAATCATTTTCACAAGTGCTAGTTTGCTGGTTTTCACCAGCGCTTGGAGAACTAATGTTCATCTTCCCTATGAAATATTACACCAAATGTCAGCATTAGTTAAGGTGATCTTTTTCTTTAAAAAAGTCCAAATTAACTACCTTCTGCTTCCTCTGATTAACCATTTAAAAACAAATACTTTTTGTGCTATATGAGTAGAACAAACAAAATTCAGTTCCACTCTGCCAATATACCCCTAGAGTATCACGCCCATGGCTAAAGCTAGTCCTCGGCTTGGAACCATAATTGAGCCCAGAATTATAGTCATAAATTGCTGCAATTATAAATCAAGACATCACATGGTTGAAGTTGCAAACATTTTTTACAATAGTTAAGTGAACATAGTAATTGTTAAGCGAATGCAGCGGTCATCAAGCTAATCCATTTTTCTCAATGGGTGTTTTTTCCTGGAAACCAGAATGCGGGGAAACTAGCAAAAAAGTTGCAAACTGTGGTCACATGACTGAGGAATGCTGCAAACAGCTGTAAAGATGAGCCAATTGCCAAACAGCCAAAAGGCAATTGTGTGTGTCTGTGTGTATGTGTGTGTGTGTGTGTTGTAACTCCGAAAATACCTCAGAGGAGGTCTGTGGTAACATCAAAGGGTTGTTCGGCAACTGGCCCTAAGTCAAGGACTATGAATACATATTATTAAAGGGATTTATTTAGGAATATGCTATTGTATAACATGGTCATGATAATCAGGTAACAATTTTGACAGACTGAAACCAAAGTTGAATAGCTGAACTCTTATAATTAGTTGATTTATTTCTATGCATAGCCAACATAGATACCAATACTATTTATCATCAAACCCAAAATGATTTTCAAAAGGCAACTGGAAGTCT